CCGTGGTCGGAAATAACTACTCTGACGCACAGACTCCATCTCCACTCTCTGATTCCAGGATGATGGCACCATGTCTGGAATGTCTCTATTCCACGACGCAAGTACTTCTTCGACTGGAGAACATGCGATGGATGAGGCAGGACTTCCAAGCCAACATCAGCATGGTTCTGACGCTTCAATGTCTTGTGGTGTGGTGCTGTGGAATAGCACCACTTACACCAATCATGATTGGTCAAGTTTCAAGGAAATCGATGTCCAATCAATCAAGCTATGCAGAGGACAATTCAGCCGGTTCAAGTACCGATTTTGCACTTATTGCAGTTTCGGTAATGAGTGCCGGTCTCGTTCCTCCATCTAATCTAGTGGTTGCAGTTACCAACTATACCATCGCGACCATTTCGTTTCGTTCCAATGTGAAATTGCGGCTTGTCAGCCAGCCTGGGTTATTTGGGTCGAAATACTTCTGTGCGCTTGTAGTTCAATGATGACGTCTTCTTCATATTTTCCATTAACCACAGAAATTTCTCGGCCGAGATTAACTTCAAAATAACAAATTCAGACATCAGAGAGGTTTGCCGCGTTTTCCAACAATGGTTGGAGCCAATCGTAACACATCTGCTTCAACCTTGATTGATTTTTAGCGAGGGAAACTAGTCAACCTCGTGAGTACCAAGGACATGGCGCTAATTTGATCTGATTACAACACAATCAAGTGGGAAATGCACAATTCTAATTGGTCCGAATTCGCGCATCGGCGTTTCAAAAACTGCAAATAGCACAGATACCATCTTTCAACGCCATTATCGTATAAGTGCATAATAAGGGATGTGTATTTGCAATGTACTTCACTTAACAAAACCCCCATGATTTCGCTAACCCAGAATTTAAGAAAAATTCCCCATTTAAACTGCATCCCGGATTTCGGCTGCTCAAAAACAGTTCGAAACTTTAATAATTTTGCATAAAAAACTCGCGTTTACATTGTTTTAAGCACCCCAATCAAAGTTTTCGCAGAAAACCAAAATTTTCGAAAACAATTAATGGGAGTTGCGATAACTGCTCATGCTTTTTTGCAAATTTGTGGGCTACTTCAGGTACGGCAAAAGATATCCAATACGGATTCTGGCACTGAAAAGATGAGCCAATAACGCTTGTCTTGATGTACTTCTCCATATTAAGACGGGTTATCCACAACGTCCAATCAAATAGCAGCATCAACTTTCAATGTAGAATACCTTCAGCAAGCCACGTAGTTGACAAAGTTGCATTCCAAGTACTCATAGAAGTTTGATCGGCTCAATAACTTGACCATTTAGCTGAAGTAAATTTGATCAAGACTAGACTTCGACTCACAAATGACCTTCAAACACGATTTGTCCCCAGATTTACCCAATTACTTTCG